ACTTATATCTCCAGCTAAAATCTGCCATCTGCCTATAGAAAATATTTCTCAGTGAAAAAAAAGGTAACTGAAAGATGCAAATACACGCTCAAACACAGGTGGCAGGGAGTCTTTTCAAGCAATTCTTTCACCTTAATGTTAACTAGTTACAGTTACAAACCACATCTTCAGATCTGTGATGCCCCATTCACATGTTAGGTTTAAGTTGAAATAGTACAATACATTTGCCACTGTATGGACCACCTCAGTGGTGTGTGGGAGAAATGCATTGTCTTCCTGTTTGAATACAGTCATAGGAATAATAACAAGAAAAATATAAGACTACATTTAGCAACAAAGACTAAGTTGTTACAAAAGGCATGGTCCAGGAGGGATGGAAGAGGGTTGGGTTCTAGCCTCACATCCTTACACAGGGCCAAAAGATTTGGGTCACACACAATTGATGCAGACTTTTGAAAAACCCTATTTAGACACAGATCCTAAGACAAAACTGTGTTTCTGGGTGTTTCAGAGCTACCTGCCCTGGAGAATAAGAAGGAAAAAGGGACATCTCTGTTGAATTGGTAAAGATAGTGGAACCATGACTTTAATTTGCTAAAGTAACACTGATCCTTATTTATCCCAGAGGTATTTAAGATGGTAGGTGCTGCAGTGGAAAATAAAACAGCCTAGTGACATCCAATACACTGTTAACCTCGGCTATATCACAATGTCAGCAACATTTCCAAAATATTTTTTCTGTGAACAGCAAGATTTATACATAATCTATTTCCTGCTGTGTGTGTACCTAGACACTTTTTAGATCTGTGGTACTTCTGACCAAGTGTTCTCACTTGAAGTCTTAGCTGCTGCTCTAGAAGTTAAAAAAAAAAAAAAAAAAAAAGTGCTGGCACATCAAGGGCTGTATTTTCATTTCTGGACAATATTTTCTAGTAAGCAGAAGTTTCATATCTTGAGCTTGGCAATGAAATATTTTTTAATTGTTTTAAAGACGGAAAAGAATCTTGCACACAAAGGCTTAAATAGATCAAATATTTTTCATGGGACATTTATTAACTAAAATAAATAACTTTAGTGATCATTTATTATTTAGGTCAACAAAGTTAGACGCAAAATTCCTGGGAAAACTGTTTGATGAAGTGAGCTAGACTGTCAGGGATGTCGGCCCAGAAATCAGGCCATGTTTGCTCTAGAAATACGGAGCCGATGTGCTCAAATCGCGGCTCACCCTCCGCGCCCGGGCCGGCGGATCCCGCAGGAGCCGCGCAGCGACACCGCCCGGCCGCGGAGCGCGGGCGCCCCCGCGAGCCCGCCGGGAGCGGTACCCGCCGGCGCGATGCTCTTCGGGGGAAATAATACTGGACTTCTGTAGTTAGAGTTGCAACTGCTCTTGGACAGCTGTTGCGAACGTAACTGAAATATTTCGGTTCTCGATATCTGACTCTTGTGAAATTTGTGTTCGCACATCCTTGTCCAGTTGAGAGTGCTGCGCTCTCTGTCACAAAAGCAGAGGCATCTCTTTAAATTGGTGACATGGATACACGCACAGAGGGAAAAGGATTACATGGAAAAAGAGCTGCAGAGGGAATACGTGGGCAGTACAGATAAGTTTAGTGAACAACTCAGCATTTACACTGGCCACTGCACAGGTAAAACACACTTTTCCTATCATTGAAATAGCTTTTCTTCCATTGTAAATGCCAAGGCATTTGCTGCCTAAAATGAGGGTTTGTCATTACCTGCTAGCCAGAAGTCAGTGCTGCTCCACACTTGAAGGTTTCTTAATTTACATCACTACAGCTCCTCTCTTAAAGGCACTGTCCACTTCAAAAGGAAGGAGTGATCTGTCCTCTGCTAACTGTTCAGAGCTGAGATCAATTCCTGTCTTTAAACTGCAGCCAACTGTCTTCCTCTCAAGTTTGCTAGTTTGGAAAGAAAATAGCATGTCAACACCTATAGAACATGAGGGCCTCCAAGCCCTGCACCTGTGAGTCACCATCAGCCAGGAATGCAATGCCTCTCATACACCTGCACAATGTGCAAAACACATAATGAAGGGCATCACACAGCAACAATCCTATCACGTCACGGAATGGACTGCCCAGGGAGAGTTTACACCTTCTTAGTGTCTAGCAGAGTTATTACAATGACTGCCAAGGAAATAATGAATGTACTGAGGTTCGCTCTACATAAAAGCACAGGAAGATGTTCCTGCTCAATTACTCTTCTAAAAAGAGAGCTAACAAATGTGAATGCTCCTGATTGAAAAACATCACTATCCCTTTCTCATAATTTCCTTCAGCTTCAAATGAGTAAATTCAAGGAAGAAATCAGTATATTTAGAAACAGCAGATGCTTATATTAGGTTCATTGTTTGATGTATTTAGAAGTCTCTTTGAAGTTTGTAAAGGTTAAAAACATGGCCTGCCATGGTCAAGCAGTGATGGCTTGTCACCAGCTGGTATCTTCCAGGCAACGTTCTTGCTTTTGCTCAACTGACTTTATAACCTACTAGTTTTACTTTTCATTTAGTAGCCAAAGTCATAGAAACCTTTCCAAGATTAGTGAAAAGCACACTTGTCTACATTACAGAACTCACGTAATTTCTTTTTGTTAAGATCCAGCATCAGCACACAATGTACCAATAACATTGTGCAATCCTTTTGTAGGAGGTTGTGCTTGTTTTCTTTTTGAAATCTGACCTGTGGTATTCCAGGTGTTTATTTGGCAACACTGTGGGGTTTAAAAACTATATCTACAATAATTCACCTTTGGGGAAGGGAATTTTAGCTGCAACGAGGTGCCCAAACTATTCCCTCTTTCATCAAAAAGTCAGAGGAACTGCAGAGGATGGCAGAGGCTGCCTGTAGAGGCTGCATATAAAGTCAGGAGTTGCTGAGGATTGGAGACAGGTCCCCTCTCTGCCCTGGGTCCCAGCACTAAGTGGCACAATGGGAGCAGATTTGAAGGGTAGGGTGTGAAATGGGCCTTAGGTGATGATGGCACAGAACAGAAGAATCAGGGTCATCATTTTCTTCCAAACCCTGAGGTAGAATTCAGGATTCTCACATTTAAATCTTCACCTGTGACTTTACAGTAAGTACCTGTGCAACATCTAAGTAGTGATGTCAATTTTGTTCTTTATTCTGTGCCCTAAAGACAAAGGACGAGTATTACCTCATGTAGAGGATATCTGTGTAGTACCAAGCCTACGCATACCTTTTCGGTATGAGATGACAGTTCCAATTTCCTCTGTTTGGCACCATCTTTTCTGAAAAGGGAAATCATTCAAGAGAATTTTTTTTATAATACAGACTTGCAAGAAAATGAAGTTAACAATTCCTTGCCAATCTTGGTCTTGGCCTTTTAAACAGTTAGCAGTCTTCATTCCCTCTTTCAATTATTCTGTATTACACCCTACATTTGGCTCATGTTGGTTCTGTGGTTTGTGTACAAAGCCTTTAAAGCAGCTACTGAAGTCCCACTAGTAAGGAGCTACTTTGACCTTTTGCAGTGAAAAGGAATGGAAACCAGCCATACAGAGCTCTATGTCACAGCCTTGAGATGGTTCATTTAAAAAAAATTAGCATAAGTAATGAAAAGCACCATTTTAAGCTAACAGCAGTGATCCATATTACATAGATTAGTATGGTTTTGGGAGCAATTCCTATAGTTAGAAAACCATGGTTCTGAACAGTTCACAAATAAAATATGTGAACATTTAACCTTGTTCAGCCCATCACTGTGTGTTTGCATCAAAAGATAGCCGTTCAATAACTGCAGGCTTTCCAAGCAGTCTCTGGAGCCTGCCAGCAAGTTCTGAGAGCTTCTCTGATTGTCACCAGGGAAACCATGAACCTGTTCTGTATGTGGCCAGCCTTCCAGAGATGAGGTTATTACCAAGCACCATCATAGGGAAAGACATCTCAAGACTAATTTCCCTAGCTAGATATTGTATTACTGGTGTATATGAAAGGATAAGTTCCTACTTTTGTAGAGGCTTCTGATGCTATGGTTAGTTCAGCTGGCAAAACTACTGTCAAGTTTTCTAAAGCTTTGAGTTCAAACACATGTTTTTATTTGATCTCTGTTATATGATTTAAACCTGATTAAATCTAACACCTGAAGGAAAAGTTTAAAAATAGATGAGAAGTTGTTCTCTCCTTTGGTAGATACAGGGAGAAATTGGAAAAATGCAATAGAGTGGAACCTGCTTAAATATTAGTTTGAAAATGTTGTCAATTTGAGATTTTTTTGAAATTCAGTCACTTTTTAGTTCAATCAAACTATTTCTGAAAATGATAACAATAATGTTAACATTCCCAGTGGTAGAATGGCAAATTAATTTTTAATTAAATTAGAAATAATCAACATCACTGCTAAAAGGAAACAGAAGAAAGGTGCTAGTTTTGAAGTAAAAAAGCAATAGTTCTGTGATAACAGAAGATCAAAGTTGGCATGGTCTAATTAAAATATAAAATGCTTCATGAATATCAAAGGGTTACCTTCAGCTCTGACAGACACTGTTGGGTAATATTACAGACACCTTAATTCTTCTAGAATCATCTTTGCCTCCACTGGCTCCCAACTCTGTATTTTGTCACAGCCTGCATAGGAAATCAAATGAAAAGCTGGGAACTGAAGCTGGTTTTACTGTCAGAGCTCCTCCAAAAAGAGTTTAAAAGTTTTGTTGATGTTGTATCAGTCTATTGGCAAACTGAGCAACTCAAGCCTGAATGGAAAACTGTTGCATTTTCGCTAGCTAAAAAATTATCTTTAATCTTAAATTCTGTCCTGGTTTTCTGTCTTCTCCCTTTTTACACCTAGATGCTTCCCCAGGGTATGGAGGAGGCTACATGGCTTCTGTATAACAGGAATGTCCCACAACAGAAGGCTGAATTTGTGGTTAACGACAGTTCCTTCCACTTGAACCTCAACTATTTAAGCAAAATAGTAAAACAAAAAGAAAAGTCAATAACCAAATTTTGCCTCTGTTTCAGATGGATACACTACCGATGATATTGAATTTTACTGGAATGGAGGAGAGTCAGCAGTAACAGGAGTTAATAACATTGAGCTCCCACAATTTTCTATCGTTGATTACAAGATGGTATCAAAGAGAGTGGAATTTACAACAGGTAAGCACTGGTTAGTTGAAAAAACCCTCTCCTCTCTTCCCCAACCCAGAAATATCAGTGTCTAATTTTTGTTAGGCATTACTTATTATATGATTTCTTTCTTTCAGGAGCATATCCTCGATTATCACTTAGCTTCCGGCTTAAAAGAAATATTGGATACTTCATTTTGCAAACTTATATGCCTTCCACGCTAATCACAATTCTTTCATGGGTATCTTTTTGGATCAATTATGATGCCTCTGCAGCCAGAGTTGCTCTAGGTAACTTCTTCTCAAAATAACTGAACTGCATAAATACTTGTTGCCTTTGAATACAGTGGCACCAATTCCATATTGCTGATTGCAGCATCATTAATTGTGATCTTACATATACAGCGTAGGACCTTCATTGTCAGGAGGGCAGGCAGGTGCCACCTTGCCTATATCTGAAGCTCTTGCTCTGCAGTTAAGTTGGGATCCTGATTGATTTCCAGTTGTCATAATGGTCTCTGGATCAGAACAAAAGTGTCTTGCTTCTAAACTGAAGCGCAAAAGTCTAATTCAGGTATTTAAGGATATCTACACTGTGCTGCATGAACAATCCATGTAGATGTTAAAAAGTGTCCTCTCAGGCCAGATGCATGATTGAAATGTATACAGAAGATCCTACTGACATCAGTGGAAATATACTAGCTTCCTTTTCTCCTTTCAATGCTCTGTTTTCAATCAAAAGCTAGATACTTATTCCAGATCTCCAGATCAATGCAAGTCACCCTCTGGGATCAAGCAAGGCTACTGATGTAAATAAAGTGAGAAGCATTTCCTCACATAGAAAAAACATCAATCGACTCTTTGCTATCCAGGTCAGCTTACACCATGTTCCCTAGCCAAGCTGTTGTAAAAATTAAGGCAAGTTGTATCAAGACAGCCTGGGCTTTTGAAAGTTATTCCATTCACCCTCCATCGCATGGAAGGCCAAGGAAGGTGCTATCAGCAGACCTGCAAGGATATCTTCCTTTCCAGTCCTGCAAAATGCATTCCCTTGGCTGTTAAGAATCTGATCACATAATTAAGCCATCTACATGGGAATATAATGCTGCCGTTATGCCTTTCACACTCAAATCTCCTTCCTTGTCTTGTTAGTCAATGTCTTTTTCTTCTTTTTTCAGGAATCACAACTGTGTTGACCATGACCACCATCAGCACCCACCTCAGGGAGACCTTGCCAAAGATTCCCTATGTCAAGGCAATAGATATTTACTTGATGGGATGCTTTGTGTTTGTGTTCCTGGCCTTGCTGGAATATGCCTTTGTAAACTACATATTCTTTGGGAAAGGACCTCAACATCAAAAAAAGACAGCAGGCAGGGCAGGACGTGCTCCAGGCGAGAAGAGAAGACTGGAAACAAATAGAGTCCAGGTAAAACATCCAAGCTAACTTCTCAATCATTATTTCTGCTGTGACAATGTTGATGTATATGATGATAGAGATAAAATGCAGATGAAACACGTGCAAAAGCATTTAAGATTGCCTAAAGAAAAATTGTATTTTAAGAGAATACAGCAATGTATGGTCTGTTCCATCTTCAGTTGAAAACATAGTAAGAAACCACATAAAATGCAAATGAGTATTCAGGATACACATTTCTTTGCAGCAGAGAAGGAATACAAGGGTACAAGGGTACAAGGAAGTTAAATATTTACTACTTCAGCTGTATATTTCTTTGATATAGAAGGTGGTATAGAAGAAATGTTTATAATAAAGTTCCTCTTTACACACAGAAACTTCATCAAAACCAAAAAGCAAAGACAGACTCTGTTGCTTCAGTGAGCCCTGAATGAAGCCCACATGACAGAGCTTCCAGGAACACAAGGATGCCGCTGCTAGGTTATAACAGCTTTCACATGTCAGGATTTTTCTTTCAGCTAAATTCAAGCAGACCTCAACTACCCTCTCTTAAAAAAAATAAGCCAGAAAAGCTCTAGGAAGTAATACTATGGACTTTTTTTTTTTTTTTACAGGGACAAGTTTAATTTTGCAATACATCACTGAGCACTTGCAAACTGCTATAAACCTATTTCAACTTTTCCCAGTTTTTCAGAAATAAACCCTTCAAAGCCTCAGGTGTATTTGGCCCAGTCTGACTCAGAGGAAAATACATATTCTAATGAGCCAAAAATCTTCTTCCTTTCTCTACTTTTCTTACAATATATTACATCCAAGTATTAACGAGATCTTACCCAGGCTGTCCTATAAACTTCTGTACTGTTGTGGCCTGAGGCGATAACATTTGGTCAAAACTTTATTTGAGCCCTCTGTTCAGCTGGAAGAATGAGACCGACACATAAAACTCTAACAGGTAAGACCGTATCTAGATGGATGGTTGCAATTTCACATACATATCAGGAAGTGTGTTTCAGAAACTCTGTGATATCTTATTAGTTCTAAATTTGTATGTCTGGTGTCCCAGTAGCCACACCACTACAGCTAAGCATCATTAACAAAGCTGTCATGTTCTCAGCCTCAGTGAACTCATGAGCCCATTAAAAGTCCTTACTCGCATTTGCCTCCTGTCCCCTTGTGTAGGAGATGCTTTATTACAATGGGGGCACAATATCAGTTCAGGCAATCATCAGTCTCCAAGGTCCCACAAAGTACTGTCTTCCACAGAGCAGAGGAGATAAGCCACCCTGTTATGGATTGTTGCACGCAGACACTGTCTATGCATTTCTATGGCAAATAAGGAAGGGAAAAAACCCAACAAAACTCACAAACTGACCAGCCACCTCAACAGCTCCTGAGATAACCCAGCCTAGGTGAGAAGCAGCACAGCAAGGATTCAGGATGAAGAGGTAATCAATGCTTCTTCAGAGGTCAGCCTTGTCCCCATGGGCCCCAGTGCACTGAACTGAGTAAAGGACGAGAAAGTGTAAAGGATAAGAGTGCCGGTAAGTTCTTTTTCCTACATATTTGGAGAGTTTGTTTAACTAACAAAAGGCCCTAACTCATAACTAAAAGCTTTTGTCTAAATGTTACATGGCGAAGATTAACTGAGGCTGGTACTCAGAATGGAATGGAATCAAAAGTTTTCAGAGCACCACATGCATACACCAGCATTTTTCTGACAGAAAAAGAAGGCATACGTGCTTTGTACCACGATTTGTAAGTGCTTACACTTGAGACAGCAATTCCATTTTGAGGCTGAGAGTGCTTTAAGTGAACAGACTGCTTTCTGCCTGTACAGTGCAGGTTTGTGAACATTCATTTTACTCAGCATGGAAATGCTGATGTCCGACAGTTGTATTTCAGTCCTTGGCAGGAACAATGTACATGGTTGAAGAAGTGGGACACAGTAAGGTTATGTGAAAACAGCTTTGAGCTCCTCTCCACTGTGTTTTGAGATTTTTCACTGGTGTTATGATGTCTGTACCAGAGCAGGGGAAAGTTTTTTTTTGAACATAAAAGTACAGTTGTAAGTATATATAGCTATAGGATAATTTTTTCCCTTCTGCTCATGACCCACATCACTTTTCCATACAGGGACTTCTAACCAATAGATGATATGTAACAGTGCTTCATCTCTTTGTGCCAGGTGAAGATATTAATCATTCCCATCTGACATGCAACTCCCATGAGTAAAAGAGTTAAAATTCCTTCACCAGATAACAAAAGCATTAGATGTGCGAGCAACACTCAACAAACTGACCACGATATTGACAGTATAGAGAAGACCAGATGAACAATGAAACTGAACTGCTATTTCCTATGTGGCTGTTCCTTTCTCTACAGACTGAAGAAGGTGGAAATAGTGTCTTTCCAGTTTCACAATTTATGCCATTTTAATTTCTAATATGCAAAAAATATTAATTTGTAGTAAACAATATTTCTGTTTCTCTGAATAAAGCATAAAGACTGTTTATATGTCCTTGCTCATTTGTTGAAGCTAGATGTCATTGAAGAGACCACTGTAATTATGGATAAATAGGACAAAAGCACCCTGCAAGAAAATATTTAGATAGTCTATGCATGCAACTGCTTCTGTTTCCCCAGACAATGATAGTGTGAATGTTACAGAGAAGATTTCTCTTAAATATGAGAAAAAGGTAGAATGCAATCATACTGTTACTGAAAAAGGGGCTGAGCCATCATAAGATTCATAAATGACAACACAAGGCAAGTGATAGATGGTCCCTCGCTCCCCAAGTCCGTACAGCATCACACCTTCCTTTCAAACCTTCTGTGAACCACAAAGCACCCAGAATAGAAAGTCAAAGGCCAGCCACAGGTTCTGAGGAAACCAAGATTCTCCAATAGAGTGGCTACTGGAAGGAGAAAAAAAAGGGGAATACATAACCACACAACTAGTTCAAACATCAAGTAAATCCCCACCTGAATAAGTATAGCCCTGCTGAGCATAACCTGTTTCTTTGCAGATCAGATTGTGATAACACTACTGCACTTGTTCCAACAAGACAGCTTGTATGAGTAACATGGCCCTGAATCTTTCATCTTAAGAGGAAGATGGGTTTGTATTGAGATAAAACAGAAATTCTTGCCTTTTATCTCCCAACAGTTCAGATAAAGAAAATAGGTAGGTAAAAACTCATTCCAGACAGCGTTTAACATTTGAGACTCATTCTTTTTCAAGGAATGCCAACATGCTATTCTTCCCCTAGAGCTGACTGTATATTTTTTATGTGGTCAACACAGGACTGTTGTTTTGGGTGGTTTTCTTTTTATTACTTTACTGTTTTACACTTAAAATATAATTTGGTGGCCCTAAGCAGAAAACTCATTTTCTAAGTAAACATACAAGCAAAATTATTATTTTTTTTTGTGATGTTTCCTCAGCACACATCATACACTTAAGAAAATTCATATATATGTACCTGTGCTGATTTAGGCTTTAGGTAGTTCCACTGCAAAGGGAAAATTAAAAATTTATATACTCAATTTAGATACACTCTCAATACAGATACGAATGTTCTTACAAGAAGCATCACCATATACCTGAAGAATACATAAACTTCGATAATTACACCAGATGACTAACACAGCATCAGCTTTAGATCCTTTGACATGTTCCTCACATATTCTTCATTATATGGTCAAAAGACCAAAAAAAAAATCAGTTCTTCGGCTTTCTACAACTTTAGGCAAGATTTATGCATTGTACAAACCAAAGTGTTCACGCAAACACACATTTAGGCTCAGAACATCTGTTAAGCAAGAAATCTTGTTTTCATCTGAGCCATGGTCAGTTTATGTAACAAAATTTAAGGCATTGTAGTTAAAGAGCAACACGGTGGTATTTGGAAGAATAAATGTATCATATCTGAGCAAGGAAAAAGTATTCTAGGCTTGATATGACTCTTCCTTCCTCCATAAGCAGGGGACTGAGATACTCTATTCCTAAGCAAGCAGCCAGACAGCTACTGGGTCAGAAAACTCAGTGGACAGAGCCTTGTCTCTTCCATGCCAATTTTTTATCATGCCATCTGATGCAAATATGTCAAAGACTGTACAACTGCAGTACCTACCTGCTCTCTGGTTCTGATGCACAGGCTTCCTCCAGCACAGGGTCAGGAGAAAGGCCTCAGTAACCTTGTATTAAGTAAGGGAGAAAAGATTTTAAGACAGAAAATTTACAGCATTTACTGTGCATATATTTGCTGTTAATTCATTCCAAAAATAAAAATAGACAAAACTAATAACAAGACTATTTTGGGGATCCCTTAACGAGTTGTACATTTTCCAGATTCCTCCAGGAATTTGTAGAATTACTAAGCTTCAGTAACAAAATCTCAGCTGTACAAGTTTAAGAATATTTTGAAGTGAACTTCAAGATATACTGAAAGGGTTTTTAATTATGTGGGAAACTAACTGTTTCCCACAAGCTTCACATTACACAGAGAATTTGACCAGGTACATAGAAGAGATTTTATACTTCCCTGAGCTAATTTAGTCAAGATCAGTGTAAGGCCTTTTGTTGTGAATTGCTAAGACTTAAATTCAAAGACTGAATTGTTTCATAATATATACAAATCACCTCACCTAAAATGGTTTAAATGAAACTTATTCTAAAAATAACAGGTTCATTCAGAACACTTAGAGTAGGAATTCATACGCTGCTTGCCTCATAATAAACTGTCAGGGCATATTAGTTTAAGAAAGATCCCTGTGAATCACTTCAGATTGTAGGCTGTTAAGAGATGTCTTGTCAAAAGAAAAGTCATAATAACTGCTTAATGATGCTTGCATTACTGTTACTACTATTATAAGACTAAAGTCAATTAGCTTACACATTAGCTTATGTAATCAAAGACAGTTCAAAGAGCTATTTCATAAAACTGGGACAAAAAGGTTGACTATCAAAACTTCTGAGTATTAAAAAAATATCTCTTTCTACACAGAGACAACTCTGAGATCATTATTTTTTCCACTGAAAAAAAAATGTCAGATCTTTGGAGTAATGAATAGTCCCATGGTTATGGCAGTCCTCTGGAAAGCAGGAAACCCTAGTTTAAATCTTCCTTCTGCTTAAATTTGATGGCTTGACCTAAAAAGTATAAACTGGGTAGTCTATATCTCGAGTAAATATTTGAAAATAGCATGCTCATTTGTTACAAGCTGGCCTCTCTAACCCAGAATATACGAGTTTTTTCCCACCAAAGCAGTGGTGGGAACTGGGGTGTTCCCACTGAATGCTCTTTTCAGCACATACAGAATCAGTTGCTAAACCAGACAAGTGCATTTTCTGTCTGTGCTGACTTATACTCCACTTAGAAGACGTTTTTACCCCACAGATCTCTTGTGTGGCTTTTGTACAAATAGCCCTTTCACTGCTTTGTTTTTAGTTAGCAGGTGCTTAATCTGGTAACTACATGAAGATTTCTCCTGGCGATGGGAAGGAACATCTTCCACACTGCCAGGTGGAACCAAGGCTTTCTCTGGCTCTCAGCTATCCTCTGTGGCAACCCCAGAGACTGGGTTTCCCTGTGTGTTTTTCTTGGAGATTTTTCTTGAACATACTTCAAATCTGCTGTAGATTACTATATCACTTCCTAGCTCTGCTATGTCTTACTAAAAATATAAAGATCAGAGTGCAAACAAAGCATTGCATATCACTGGTGCTTCACAACACCAGATGTTGTCTATAATTACTATTTTATTCCTTGATATAAAGGCATCCACAGACATGGTCTAGACTGTAATATATTTGGGATAGGGCAAACACCACAGCTTACCAAAACCAATTTTAGTATTCAAGCCTCGAGGTGAAGTCTTTGAAGTTTCATTTAAGAGGCCTGTGTTCTGATGTGTATTTCCCTCATACAAGCTACAGTGGATGTTCAAATATCTGTGAATTTGAAACATCTAGGAAATCTTTATGAAGAAGTCAGAAGTCTTCATCCTGGGAACACCAAAAATTTTCAAAAGAGGTTTTACTACAAACAGGTAGAAAACTAAAGACTTGTGAAAAGGTAAACACTTTGTAGCAATGCTGCCATTCATGGTTAATTATATTCATACATAAGAAAGACAATAACACAAAAATATTTTATATATATATATATATATATATATATATATAAAATATTGGGCCAGATGTACATAGTGGTTCTAGTTTCCAGTTCATTGCATAGGTACCTAAAACAGTGCCCTGACTAAATAACAGCACAAATAAAGTAAGTGACAAATATATTTGAAACAACTGCTTCTGGTACTAACACATAAAAATGCAAATGAATGTAGGGTTTCATTGAGTAAAATGGATTATGACAAGGCACAGGAACAAGTTAATGATATGTTATGATTTCCAAAATCAATTTTCATCATGAACATTTTACATAACTGTACCTTCGTGCTCTTCCTATCATAAACCCATTGTTACAAAACTCTTTGAAATTAACCTTCAGCACTAAATCTGGATAAAATTGTTTAAACAGTAACATTTTCTTTTCACCTTGTGTACATGAAACCTTCAAGTGTCCAGTCACCAGACACTACAAATCAGAATTTCATAAAGACTGTGACCCAAGTTAAAAATAAAATTAGAAAAGTCTTATTTCACAGAGGATAACTAACCGAATTACAAGGTCCCAGACCAAGAAACCAGGTCAGGATGGAAGGTACTTAGATGTTTATTAGCTAATTTCACACTAGTCAGGAAAGTGCATTCAGTATCTTTTCACTTTTGTGAATGCTGTACCAGACATGAACTGTCACTGCAGGAGCGTTTCAGTAGTAGAGCCAGAAGGTCCATCTGGGATACACCTTGGGCTGGCTGAGCAACTTGTCTAATCCACATTCCTTCCTTGACACAGGTTGACCCCCATGGAAACATGCTTCTTAGACCACTTGAAACACGAAATGACGTCAGCAGCTCAGATGTGTTCATGAGCCTCCGTGACCCTCGAGCCACCACGTACACGTATGACAGTGCCAACCTGCAGTACAGAAGAGCCACTTCCAGCAGAGACCTCTACAACAGGAGTGCTCTGGATAGGCACAGGCTTCATAAAAAAGGACACTTACGAAGAAGGGCATCCCAGATCAAAGTCAAAATCCCTGATTTGACTGATGTTAACTTGATAGACAAGTGGTCCAGAATGGTCTTTCCCATAACGTTTATTCTTTTCAATGTTATTTACTGGCTGTATTATGTCCACTAATTTATGCAATAATGTTACCACAGACTGACTTAATTAGGCTTGTTGCTTTTCCTTCTCAATTTTAACTCTGAAGAACTTCAGTAGCTATAATGTTACATGTTCAATGTAAGATACCCAGCCATGGAACACTTCTAGATTTAAGCTTTCAAAAAAAAACCCCAACCCAACCCAAATTCAGCCTTATAGCATTCAGATCAGAATATTACAGATCTGCTCTTAAAAAGCATCTTCAGCAAAAGTGCTATACCTTGATTTTTACAAAGTTTATGCATCACGAATGACCTTTCTGTAGCCACTTTAATTTTTTTTTAAGTGGAATAAAAATTAGTCCCACTGTATTTCTTATCACATATTGGCAGCCCACAGCAGCATGATTCCAAACAACACAGTAAAACAATTCAAAGCAGTATCTATGTCACTATCTTTCAGCATTTAGAGTGTACAGAAATTTGAAGAAATAACAGTTTGGAGGATTATAATTGTTACACCACAACATCATTTCAAATAGTTATACTGGGAAGGATTTCCATAGTGTGTGTGAGAAGTATCACTCAACGAAAAGTCAAATCACATTTTCAGAGAAGCTGGGATCTTGAAAAGAAATAAAGGGTAGCAGAGAGAAATTCCACTGAATTTCCAAGCAAGGAATCAGCTGATTTGATCTAACTGGACACAAAGTAATAATGTTGAAATTTATGAGAACAATTGTGCCATATGCAATTTTGTATTAAAAAGTAGAAAACAAGCACATGTTCATTCCTGGAAGCAATACTGAGACATACCCCAGGCCAAGACTTTTCTTGACTCCCAGGTCTCCCGTGGCTGGTAATTGCAACATTCTCCCAAAAGTTACACACAAAATCACACAGAGTATTCCGAGTAGGAAGGGGCCCATAAGGATCATTGAGTCGAACTCTTAAGTGAATGGTCCCTATGGGGATCGAACCCATGACCTTGGTGTTATTGGCACCATGCTCTAAGAGGAAATCAAACCCAAAACTAAGTTGGCAGATGTCTAGGAACAGATCTGAGGAAATTTCTGCATATAGTTTCCTACAGATTTCCTTACTCCACTGAGGATCAGGAGATGTGTCTGAGTCTTATGGCACACCAGTGATGTTGGGTGCACTCCTTTTGAGGAGCTGCCTCTCCGCACTTGGCTGCTTTTTGCCTAACACAGCCAATTCCATCCAAGGAGCCACAGGTAAAGTTCTAGCAAGGTCCATGCAATTGAGAAGCAATAGGTCAGTCATCTTCTCTATGGCCAATTGTTTCCTAACAGTGTTTACACTGCTGTCTAACATAGCAATTTATTGAAACTATTATCAGTTAATTTTTTTTTTAATTAAAAATGTTTCATACTTTTAGGAGAGTCAAGATATCCAAGCCAACAGAGTCTATGTAGGTACCAAAGTGATTGTTACCCATGGAAGCTTGTACAGAAAGAAACATTGGTACAGATACAAATGAGTGACGTGGAAAGCTTCTTCAGCAGCTCCTCATTGCCTGGCAGTAAGGTCAGCTGACTACCTTATTGCCAACTGATATGACAATTTCTTTAATCAGAATATAATAACAAGTGAAACCTTCCTACATGCTAAAGTTTGTCACATTGTGCAATACCTGGACCTTCTCATCCTTCCCTTTGTTTGTGCAGTAGGCTTCTGCAGAAAGAGTCTGGAATAATAGAATAAACAAACAAGAAAAGGAATAGGTTTAATTTACAAGAAATATAGGGCTGCAAACCAGGCATTTGACATTGCTAATCTAGGGGGGGTCTTTAAGACTATCAATTTTTCTGTGGGCTCCAAAGTCCCAACCTCATCCCAAGTTCAATGGAGCACAGCGGTGGTCTCCTCAGATGTCTTCTCTCCTCTCATACAACCTTTAACCTCCAGTCTACTAAAGAGTTGCACAATTTTATCAGATTAATCAGCCACTGGGTACAGCTTGAGGTGATTCAGGACAAATATTAATTCAGTCAAATGGCTCAACCTGGCTACAACTTGTACACCTATCCCCACCCTGAAACAACTCCAAATATTTTTTAAACAAGAATTCCACATGGGAAAATTTGATTAATTTTTTAGTCAAATTTAAGCAGTGTTTAGATAAGAATATTTGAGTGGCAACTAACTATATTATTTTGGTATTGTAAAATAAATAATACAGAGAACATATGGAAGTAAGAAAAGTGAACTTTCCATAACTGAAAAAATGGCCCCAGGAGGGAGACAGCAGTAGGGCCATACGTACTGTCCATTCCAAACAAATAGTTTTGAATTCAGTGAACTGGCACCAGACTTTGCAAACGGAATAAGTTCACAAACCAGTGAATTTGCCCACTTTGTATTTTTTTATACAAAACTAAATTCAAAGAAAGTAATACATTCTGCAGACTTGTAGTGTAATAGACTCTATGAATAACAACTGCCAGTGACCCATATTTTTACATTACCTGATTCGCTAAAAATAGTCACAGATAGACCATAGGATAGTAATTTAACCTGGCTGTTCAAGTGCTGCAGAGACATTAGAACCTCTCCTTTCAGTTGCAGTGAACATTCAGGAAGAACTAACACCCAATATGACATTGAAACAAGACAAGACTTTGGGTTAAAAAAAAAAGGATCCTTTATCTTTGATTACAAGAGCAAGGATCAGCTTTAATGGTCTTCAGCATTTTTTCTTGTAGGCTTTTAACATCTAGATACACATATTTTGTAGTTTATGGATCAACCAGCTACTTCACACAACAGATGACAGGCACATGGATTAAAAGCAGTTACGTTTTACAACTCCAAGGGGATAAAGAAAGTATGGAGCAGAGTAAAAGCCATTAACAAAACAAGAGCAGTGCAAATACAGAACTCCTTAAGAACAGCATGTTCCAAAATAGGAGGGTCCACCCTTATGCACCAGGAGACCTTTAACACATGCCACTGATACAAATCCCAGCCCTGCAGCCCATTTTGAGTGGCACCCACTAAGGCCTATCTGCACGGAGAGCAGGAAGCCATGATCTTGAGTCAGGAAACCCCTGCCAGCTCTTGGTGTAAAGTTTGGCAGCAGAGATTAGTGACTCCACCACATACAGAGGCAAGAGCCACTAACTGTAGGTACAACAACTTCTAGAAAAAAAAAGCAGAAGAAAACATTTCTCACTTGAGAGCAATAGCTTGGCAGCAAGGAGAATGCAGTGGTTATTAGAGGCATAGGATGGAAAATGAGTCTGTTTATGGGTTACCCATGTACATTGCCATCTGGAGCTAGAAATTAGTGAGTACAAAAGAAACAATCTCTTCCCATCAATAGGTTGGAGTAATTCGGCTGGTTTTGCACAATAAAGGTGAATAATGCTGTAATGCTAAGCTCCCTCACAGTTGTACTTCAGTAGTTAATTTCCTTGCCCCTAGGAACCAGCCTTCAAGATCAGCATAAGTAGGTCCTATTGCTAATTATGTTTCAGCTAAATCCCGGTACAGTTTGTGCAGCTCTCACTCAATTTGAACTGGAAGTCCTTTTTGGCTCAGTTTTCCAAGGACTTGAGCTTTATTGTCCCTGAGTGTGTATATTTGTGTGCCTACCTGGGAATGTCTCAATAATATACGAATCCATTTGTAATTTCAGCCATAAGATAACAGAACAGTAAGGACCTATGAGATACAACATTCCTACAAGTTTCAACAAAGCAGCTAGCTTATAGCAGAGGACAAGGCTCACGTTAACCCACCACTCATATGTGTAAAGTTTTGTTTTTGGTGTAAATTACATACTTAGGAGGTCTGTACACAGCACCTGCAAAACCACAGAGATTTCTTAAACATGCTCATGATGGCTGGTTGGGATTTTTTTGGCCATATGACTGCAGGACCCAGAAGTGAGCTGCTCTGCAGGGTAAACATTGGGAGAATATGAACCCGTGTCCCTGAAACAGGACGAAGGGGAAGCATCTCCTGGGAACAATCTTTACAAGTTAGTGTGGTGTAATGTGCAAACACTAAAGCTATTCCATGCACTGTAGTCAGCTAATTAGAAAGACCCTAGGCCTGAAAGAACATAGGAAAATACAGATATGGGCAAAGTGAGCAGATAAGCAAAGAGAAAATTAAAAATTATTTAATCTAATGGGGTCTCTTTAAACTCCTGCACCTTCGGCCTAAGCCTTCTTATGCCTTCAGAAGATTTTTCCGATTCCCCCTTAGTCACAGCCTTAGTCTTTGTGAATGACACTCCTCACACCACAAGCTCTCCTCAGCTTTTGTTACTTCATTTAGCTCTGGTCCCAGCATCTAGTTCTCTCCAGGGGCTGACGTGCATGGCCATGCTCCACACTTTATGAAAACCTCTGTGTGGAAATGTGATGCCAACTTCTTTACCTGTCCTCCTATTCTTCAGGAGGGAAGGGAGCATGGTTGGGTACACTTGACAGACGTGCTCCTGGTCACGAGCTTGTCTTAGATGCGTACATTTGTCCTGTTTGCTACCTGCTTGGGTCTACCTGCATTCCTTGAAGTGTATGTTGAAGCTGACACCCATATAACGGGGTTTGTGAAATCTCTAGCTTTTTCCATCAATTTGGTCTGGTACAGTCTCCACAAATGCCTTATCTGTCACAACTGGAGACCTTGCTTGTTCCAGAAGTAACTAATTCTCTGAGCAAAGACAGAAAAAAAAACATTTTCTGATAGATGGTACAAAGTACAGAGCAGCAAGTTCTCTTCTCCATTCTCTTTAGTCCTGTTCCTGGTCACCTACTGGAGGTCATTTTGTGCCTTATGAGGACAGTTCATTTCTCTGTAGTGATGTAAGGTCAGGATGCAATTCCACACATTCAAATGCAATTCCATGATCATCATGTTTTAGCTGCTAGTTCTCAACTGCTCGTCAACTGGTGCTCCTCTCCCTCTCTAGCCAGTCATACAGTGTCATTATGTCCCGTATTAGAAACATAATTTTTATCATTATATTAAAAAATACTGAGATTTTCAATAAAGTGTAACACCTACAAAAAAAGCATATAATTGCGTATTTAGTCTTGTCACATCGTAACAGAAACTTGTCTTCTTTTTAAAGCAAAAAATCATTGAAAAATTATTTTTCAGCCTTTTCTGTTCAGTGCTGCAGTAAAGGACAGGACAAATATAGGACGATACTAATGACTAAATGACTACCCCATACCCTTAATTGTAAAGCCATCATTACATAACTTGCTATAGAATTTAAAATGAAACTATATAAACTTTACCACTAAGAAAAAGTCAGAAATATTTAAAGTACCATCTACATTTTTAAAAATTGCTTTCTGTCAGTGAGCAATGTGGCAGATTTTGCAATACAAGTTTCGCTAGTTGAACGTGAAAATGGAAGTTATTATTTGTGGCCTTTTATTGTTGAGAAAACACAACTATTTTGATGAACTTACAGCATTTTTGAATAGTTGATCTTTGAAAACTAAGAGGTAGCAACACAAAATTCTCTTCAGCAACATACTACAGAATAAGTTTTAAATAACCACCTTAATATTCTTCAAAGTACAGACTTTCTAAGTATCTGCTACATCTATAAACTGTGTCAGTGGATCAGCACACAAATAAGTGTCTTCTATCCAAACAACATCCCAAACTCGATAGTGTACACTTGTATGAAATAAATGGCTGTTTATTGGTTCTGCTACTGTAAATAAAAGTAGTTTTCAGTCCTTCCATCCTAAATGATAAAAACAGCATGGCAACAATAAAAATCAGTTACCAAAAAATAAAGCCTCTTTTCTCTACAAAAGCCTTTTAGCAACACACGCTTATCATAGGAAAGCTAAAGCAGAGTTACAGTTTCAGTATGCATCATACAATCCATGAAGCATTTAAACACATAAGACCATATTCTCCTATGAAGCAACTAGATCTAGAAGAAAGGAAAAAGTGGAGTCAATACAAATACGTCTATAAAAAAAGAAATAGACATGACAAATTTATTCCTTACACTCACAATTAAAAAATAGCATGCTCCTGAACAGGCTACTGGACAACCTGCAGTAACTCTTTTCAGATTTCTAGAAAAGCTAAGCAATTATCAATTCCAATCTGATTTTTTAGCTTGAATTTCGTACCACTTATACAAAGTCTTTTTCTGTTATCTGATCCATTATCAAATTTGTTGTGTATGGAAATTCAGGACTATGATCAAGCTGTATCTGTTAGAGATTGCAGTCCCTTCACTGTAAGATGCATTTTTCAGTCTCTCATCTTTACAATTCTTTATCCACTTCTCCACATTTCTCCACATTTCTGATCTTTCTTCAATTGCTGGGACTGAACATGTACACCTGACCAAATGTACCAGTACCAAATAAAAGGGAAACAATATATTTTACACAGATACACATTTTCAAAAATGTTTTCTGACCCACGAAACTTCTATCCTAGTTATATATGTATTTAGGTTTCCTATTCATGAAGCCTATTAAAGTCCTTTTCATAGAAGCCTTTCTACAAGAGAGTTTCTTGTCCTCCTCCTCCTCAGACCAGTACTCTGAAGTCCAATTCCTTGTATGAATGTATTATTTTAAACTTTGCTTACATGAAAACCTACAGCACAACAAAATACAGTGGAAGAAACTCAAGAAGGGTCTTCAGTTTTGAAACTACAAAGACGTAGGTCATAAATACTTTGCTTTTTTATATATACAAAACATGCCCAGTATAGACATACATTATGAGAACCACACATTAGCATTTATGTCAGCATTACAGATAATTTGCTCTTTGTATATGGAAAAATGGTTTAACAAATAGTAGAAAGCATAAGATTTTCTGGTGTATCCCTCTCTAGTATTATGGTTTCTAACTTTTGTAACTACAATCCAAACTCCATCTGGTTTCAGGAAAATTTAGAGCAGGATTTACCTGCTGTATTAGGTAAGCTGCAAATATCTTTTTCACAGTCTACATAGGTCAGCTCCTCTCCAGCACTGTGCCCCTTTCTGAAAACATTAAGTGAAATGCCATCAACTAAGATACAAAAACAAAGCTAAAACACCACACTTTACTCTGAATAAAGATCCAGTGCTTTTTCCACAACTTCTGAGCACTGAACAGGATGCCTAGAGAGGTTCTGATGTCTGCATCCTTGGGAAACAATCAAAAGTCATCTGGACACAGTCATAGAATCATAGAATCGATTGGGTTGGAAAAGACCTCCGAGATCATCGAGTCCAACCCTTGGTCCAAATCCAGTCCATTTACTAGATCATGGCACTCAGTGCCACGTCCAATCTGCGTTAAAAATCTCCAGGGATGGTGAATCCACCACCTCTCTGGGCAGCCCATTCCAATGCCTGATTACTCTCTCTGTAAAGAATTTTCTCCTGATATCCAACTTAAATTTCCCCTGGCGGAGCTTAAGCCCGTGCCCCCTTGTCCTATTGCTGAGTGCCTGAGAGAAGAGACCAACCCCCACCTGGCTAGAACTTCCCTTCAGGTAGTTATAGACGGCGATGAGGTCACCTCTGAGCCTCCTCTTCTCCGGGCTAAACAACCCCAGCTCCCTCAGCCTCTCCCCATAGGACTTCTGCTCCAGTCCCTTCACCAGCCTTGTTGCTCTTCTCTGGACCCGCTCCAGCACCTCAATATCCTTTCTGAACTGAGGGGCCCAGAACTGAACACAATATTCAAGGTGTGGCCTCACCAATGCAGAGTACAGGGGAAGGATCACTTCCCTGCTCCTGCTGGCCACGCTATTTTTGATACAGGACAAGATCCCATTGGCCTTCTTGGCCACCTGGGCACCCTGTTGGCTCATGTTGAGCTTCCTGTCAATTAGTACCCCCAGGTCCCTTTCTGCCTGGCTGCTTTCCAGCCACTCTGTGCCCAGCCTGTAGCGCTGCAGGGGGTTGTTGTGGCCAAAGTGCAGGACCCGGCACTTGGCTTTATTGAACTTCATCCCATTGGAATCAGCCCATCTCTCCAGTCTGTCCAGATCCCTCTGCAGAGCCCTCCTGCCTTCCAGCAGGTCGACACTCCCTCCCAATTTGGTGTCATCAGCAAATTTGCTGATGATGGACTCAAACAGTCCTGCACAGCCTGTTCTAGATGACCCTGCTTGAGCAGCGAAGTTGGGAAGATGACCCTCAGAGCTCACTTCCTACCTCAACTATTCTGTGGTTCTACACTGGTTTTGTTTTTAAGGTGATTTTCCCCAGCATATAGAAAGATTGAGTTTAGTGACTAATAAATCAAGAAAAAAATTACTGCAATTATTCACACACAAAAGCAGGTCTTTATTTTCCATATTTACAATATAAATATATTAATGCTACAAATACTCTCTCATGTTATTATCATGGCACTTCAGATAAGGTAACAGTATGCAAGTAAGATGCCTTAGTTTTACTAGGCACCTGTGTGGTCACCGTCAAAGTTTAACCAAAACAAATATGGCACATGTCATAAGTGATTCTTTTCCAAAGGTCTATAAATCTTCAGTACTAAAAGCAACTGTACATTGGATTTTCATATTTTTGATCCAACAGATACAAGATTTTACTACTTTTATCAAAGGATTAGTAGTTTATTTGGTCACAAGTCATAACAGCCTTCTCACTTTAGTATTCTACAGCACCAACAACTTTTCGCTTTGCAGAGGATACATTTTTTTCCCCCAAATCAACTGGGGAGCCATCACTAGCAGATACTGTAGATAATCTGATTTCCATCATTTCAGTTGTAGGACAACCTTCAAAAAAAAAGGAAAGGAATGAGATTAAAGTTGGATAGGACCAAAACTTAACCAGTCTATGAAATGCAGCTTTTTGCTTTCTGTTTCAGTGTAATATGCAACTGAACAACCATGTCTTCGCTCTGAAAAGCACACCATCCCTCTGTCAGCTCTCTTTTACAACCTCACACAACTATCACTTCCAATAACTTTCTTTACCCTTTCCTGCACGCAATCCATTCCTCAGATGCCTGTAGTCACAAAGTAGAATAGCAATGCCCAGGTCCAGTGAGATTCCTTCTGCACAAAGCAGAGATAAGGATCATTTCTGAAGTGGATTCCTCCTTCTGCACACATAAAACTAAGTAAGGAGATGATAACATCCCATACCTTGTGAGGATTTAAATCTGGCATGGAAAAATCCTTGTTTGCATAGTGCAGAGCTCATGACAAGCTACTATGTAGTTTAGTAGGAAAGCAAATGCAGAAGAAAGCAAGTTTTGAAAGCTGTTAAGGGCTGTAATTTCATTAGAACACTATTTTCTTCAAATCCTCATTTTCCTTAGTCTTTCCTATTAAGAAATCTGAGATTCTCCAGTGTCACAGATCAGTTCAAGTGAAACTTTATTGTTTCACTTGAAATTTTCTTCTTGGGTAACTGCATTGGAATCTTTGTAACTTTCTTCCTGATTTACTATGTCATAGAAATTAAAGGACTCACTATGAACCAAAAAATTGTCCCATATGCACACCCAGACACCGACAATTTACAAAGCTGAGGGAACACTAGAATTCTTGCTAATCTTTCAGAACAGGAAAGGGGTGATGGTATTAAACAAAAAGAAAGTAGATTTAGACTAGATATTAGGAAGAAACTTTTTACAATGGAGGTGGTGAAACACTGGAACAGATTGCCCAGAGAGGTGGTGGATGCCCCACCCCTGCATCTAATCGACAATGTCCCTGTTTCACTGCAGGGAGGTCAGACAAGACAACCTTTATAGGTCCCTTCCAACCCAAACTATTCTACAATTCTGCGAATTTTGCTTAAAATAAACTCAGTACATGAGAAGTCGGGAACAAACAATTATATCAGTAAAAGCTACCTTATTAGCAGCTTCCAATGCATTTATTAGGTTCTGCAACTCTTCCTTGTTCATCTCTATAGAAATTGGCTTAATTTCACCATTTTCTCTCACATCCAAATCAAGATTGAGGAGTGGCATTTGCAGCATGGAGATCTTATCACTGGAAAGAGCAAGCTATGCAGATTGACAAAACAACAATAAAGTGTAAGGTGGAGCCAGTAAGTTTTTAGTCTTTCATAATAACACATCTGCACTTTAAATTCAATTTGTGCTACCAGAACAAATATCAGCATAACAAAATTAACTTCTCACAAGTCATTTCAGCAGTTTGGATTTTTTTTCCTCCTCCTTGTTATTGGGATTTTTGTTTGTTTGTTAATACCAACAATATATTGAAATACTAAAAAACCCTCTTCACAGCAATACGCTTCTCAAAAACAATTTGTTAAAATTACTGGGCTGACACATTTTGATAATATAGGTAAAAAGAAAGGATACATTTCATCATGGCTCTTTAATGAAGTATATGAAATCTGAAATCACCATACTCAAATTGTTTTGGTTTTCAACAAGAAGGGTCATACAGAATGGGGCAGTTAGGAGAAAGAGGGCACTTTCATGGTGTTTTTCAACACTCTCTACAGCTGATTAAACACTGTTTGTCAGAGATCCTATTTGACAAACACTGATGAAGAGGACTATATACCAATCGTGCTTTCTTTTTTTTTTCCTATTATACCCACTCTAGCACAGATAAGGCTTTTAAAGTTTATTAAAAACAAAGATCAGTTGATAATACTATAGGTCTATATATAATAGATACTATCTTATAGTATATAATAATAATGGCCAGTCTTCGCGAGCGAAGATTTTGGGAAAGGTCATTAACCCTTCCAGCCTGCGCAGTGGATTTTTTAGGTGAGACACAGCGTGCGCTGAACTGAGCCCACCCTTTAGTCCTGAGGTTCATCTGCCGGGGCCGAGCAAAGCTTGGACAGTGGCAGTGAGGTCCCCAGGATGTAGGTTTGTTTAGAGTGACCTTCTCTTAGGTGGATTGCCTACCAAGGCTGACGAGCTCCACCTGCCCAGGGGGCCGGGAATCGAACCCGGGTCGCAGAGGTGAGAGTCAGGCACTCTAACCACTAGACCACCAGAGGCCCATATAGTATATATATATACACTATATATACTATAAGGTAGTATAAGATACTATCTTATCTATTTAGAGAACAGAATGTGATACAGCAGAGAAGACACAATGTCTTTGGTAGAATTCAATCATGGCAAGCGAAAAAAAACATAATCAGCTCAAGGGGGGGGAAAAAAGTGGTTTTAAGAAAAATAAATATAGTAGTTCAGACACGTACCAGAAATTTGCATTGCAAAATAGAAAGAAACTCAAAAAATCCTTCAGAAGAAAAAATTAAAACAAGTCACAAAAAACCCCCAAGAATTCACATAAGTCCAGTTTGTATTTCTGTCAGCAGTAAAGGCAGTTAGCAAGAGATCAACCCCAGTAACAGTTCATCCAAAGCATGTTATGATGCCATACTGGCTCCTGCAAAAACTTGTCTGTTTTGGGCATTACTCTTTGATTTCAAAGGCTGTTTGCTGCCAAAACTATTTAACACTTGTTAACATGGAAAACTATTCAACAGCTCTACAACTCCGTTTAACAG